AGCAGATTGAATTAATTTATGCTGAAAGAAAATTATCACATTTTACTTTCTTTTATACTTAATGTAGGTTACATTGTAATTATAAATATGAAATTGTGTGTAATTTAAATTATATTATGTATGTTTCATGAAATTATAATATATAATACAGTACTATCTGATATCAATATATCTTAATTAAGAGCCAAATTTTTTTTTAGTTAGTAAATAAAGATCACAAACAAAATTTAATGCAATAATTTATGTATAAAGTAAAATTTAGTAAAATAATAAACTCAATTTTAATATAACTGAAAATAGAAAATTTATTTATGATGATGATCAAATTTAAATTTTATCAAATGTATTATAAATGTAAACATCAATTAACCTGACTTGTAGATTAATGCCAAACAATTACTGGATTATATTGAGCTGTAATAATGCTACTATTTACTAATTAAATGTCAAGAAATTTGGCTTAGAGATAGGCATTAGGTGCCATTGCATGATAAATTTAGTATTAATAATTAATTCAGAAGATTTTGGAAGGAAAGAATTGGCCTGAAGCAGGACTCAAACCTGTAACTCTCACTTGCTATGCTGACAGTTATGCTAACTAGATCACTTCCAATCTTGACATTTAATTAGTAATTAGTATTATAGCCCAATGTAATCTATTTGTCATTTATCAAGTACTTTTGAGAACATATTAACAAGTCATTAAAAATTTCTTTTGAAGACTGCATTGGACAATGCTGATGAGAGATATTTTTGAAATTTCTAAAATTATTAACAAGAAGCTCTTCAATGAAAAACACAGTAGCAAGACTACTAAGTAATTTATATTCTTAGAATTGTATAAACCCTTATAACTATCACAAGTGGCAGGCATACTGGAACAACAGTCAAATAATTTATGCCAGATCAAGCTTGCTTTAGTTATGTAGAAGTTCTAGTCAATGACAAAACCAGAAAGAGGAAGTATTGTCAGCTTAGTTGAGAGTGGGCCATCCAAAACTAACAAATAATAACCTTTTACATGCAGAATCACAGCCAACCTACTCTATTTTTAGCATTTTCCTCATAGTTCAATACATTAACCCAATGTTAACTCGATATAGTACAGCCAGTTGTATCACTTTTACCAACAAGAATTTTCTGATGACAATGCATTTTTTAACAAACTATTGAACCAATCTTTGTTTTTCTTTGCAGTATTAATTTCTATTCTAGTTCAGTAACATGCCCTATGTTTGGGACTTGAAAATGCTCATAAGAGTTGCAGAATTTTTTCACTTTCAATTAAAAAACAAAATGCATTTTAAATCTTATTTTAAGCACTAGATTTGTAATTGTGTGTACACCCATACCTCGCTTTACGGCCTAGATACGTTCCACGAAACTTGGCCGCAAAGCGAAAAGCCATATAAGAAATCAATTTTCCTAATACAAATTCATACAAATTCAATGGGATCGGTTCCAAATTTGTTAAATATGTAACATGGTTTATCATTCAAAATGCATTTTATCTTTTTATTTTATTTAAATCAAAAATACATACATAAGAAGTACACACATTTGTACATAAAATAATAACAGACTCCAAAAACCAACAATAATCTATAAACAAAAATGAAACAACTTCATGTTACATAAAATATGTGTATGTTTACATACATAATTTTTTTTTAAATGGCTTTAATCTGAAGACGATGAAGAAATGGTAACCTGCAGATCACTGTCGTCATCATTTTTCGCTGGTAAGGATGGGCCTGGCTTAAAAAAATTGTCCACCATTGTTTGTCTTGCCTTCTTGTCTATTTCGTTCTTCAGTGATTTATAACAACTAATGGCTGAATTAATTCCTTGAGAAACTTTAGCGCTACGTTCAACGTCAGGATCGTTTTCAAGGAGGATGTTTATTCCTTGTTCGAAACTGGAAAAAGCTTTCGACAAATTTTTTGATGTTAGCTGTTTGGATACAACAGGCTCTGTCTCTTCATCTGTCTGTTCAAGCAGAACTGGCATTTGCTTGCAACTGAATGAGTTCCTCATATGAAAGGGGTTCCCTATCAGCTTCAAGTAGATCAAGCACATCACATTCATTCAAACCTTCAAAGCCGAGATCATGTGCTAGATCCAAAATGTTTTGCCTGATTTCAGGAAGGAAATTAACTTCTGCATCAGTACTTTTTACACATTCTGCCCATATTTTTTCCAAACATTGTTCATTGTTGTTAATTTTAATTCCTTCCATGATTCACTGATGCTGTCAACAGCATTTTTGATGTTATAGTTTTTCCAAAATGTTTTAATTGAAGATTTACCATCGGTTTCCCTTATAAGTTGTCGGAAAGTTCGGCGTAGGTAATATGCCTTAAAAGTGGCTATTGCACCCTGATCCATTGGTTGGATCAGAGCTGTTGTATTTTTCGGGAGGTACTCAATCATGACATCTTCAGATAGTTCGGATAAATTAGTAGGATGCCCTGGTGCATTATCGAAAAAAGCCTTGTTGCTTAAGTTATTGTCTCGCAAATATTTTTTCACTTCTTTACAAAAGTGATTTTTGAACCAATCCCCAAAAGTAGCTTTAGTCATCCAAGCTTTCTTGTTGTATCTCCATATGATGGGTAATTGATTTTTATTTAGTCCTTTAAGAGGCCTTGGATTTTCGGACAAATATATTAAAAGTGGTTTTAGCTTAAAATCACCCGCAGCATTTGCACCAAGTAGCAAAGTTAATCGTTCTTTAGACACCTTATAACCAGGCGCAGATTTTTCGGTTTTTGAAATGTACGTGCTATCAGGCATTCGCTTCCAATAAAGCCGTGTTTCGTCTACGTTAAACACTTGTTTAGGTTTATAACCACCTCTTTCAATAATTCCCTTTAAAATGTTGGGATATTCCTTAGATGCGGCCTCATTGGCGCTAGCTGCTTCACCTTTCATTTTCAAATTATGCAAATTAAATCTATTTTTAAATTTTTCAAACCATCCTCGACTTGCTTGGAATGTGACATCTTCAGCAGATTCATCGGTATCTCCATTCTTCAAATTTTTGAAAATATTTAAAGCTTTTTCCTGGATAGTCATTTGACTCATTGGCATTCTCCGTTTGTTATTGTCCTCAATCCATATAATTAATAGTTTTTCCATTTTTTCCATAATCCAGTTTCTTTGGCGTGTTAATCTCGAGACATTTAAAGGTGCAGCAGATTGCAAATATGTTTTAATATCTTCTTTTTTATCGCGAATAGTTTGAATGGTAGATTTCGCAAGTCCCATTGCCTTGCAAATTTCANTGTGGACCTGTAATTATATGCAGCTATGAATTATGCTTATTTTATACATGCATATCTAGAGTTACTTTATGTAACAAAGTACGTGCAGTAACTTTAGATGACTATCTAAATGTCACACACAATCGACTGCACCAGCATTAGTACAATCAAATTTTTTGTGAACTGATGGTTGAAAAACACTGCTATGTACCAAATGCAAGTAACATAGTTTTGCTGATCAGTTATAAAAGAGAGTTTATAGTTTTTGCTAATTATCTGAGTTAAAAAAAGCAGTTAAAGCAAACAAAGCTATGGCTAAAAGCAAACAAAACTTTCAGAGTCATAGGCCTAATGAACTTTTCATTGTCGTTATTGCTGGATGTCATTATTTTGTAAATAAGAAGAAATGAATAAGTAAAATGTTCATTGATTGTAAAATCTGTCATTGATGTCAGAAACATAGAAAACCAATGATCATCTACTGGAATTGATGATGTAACTTATCCAACATTCTGGAAGCATCCAGTTGAACATTTCACTTTTTATAATTCAGGATCTGGTTACTTTACCATATTACAAAAATTGAGAGTAGAATTGAGTGCACTGTACTGTACATAATAGATACATTTTAACTCGTCAGAGACTGCATTTCTTAACTAAATACACTCAAACAAACCTTTACATATGCAGCCGTAATTTAATAGATAAATTCAAACGTTTTCGACCATATTCAATGGTCTTTATCAAGAAAAAACTGAAAAATCGAACTTCGAACCAAAAATTTGCGNCAGCCGCTTTATGAGCACACACTGAATAACGCTCGTAAACAAGAGGAAATAGAAAAGAGTGTGCATTGAGATTGCGCTTGCACAAGATTGGCAACATGTAGATATATCGACATCAAAAAAAGTTTTTTTTGCCGTTATAACGAAACATTTTAGGCTGTAAATCAAAAACGTGCCTTAATTGAAGAGAGCCGTTATAGCGAAATGCCGTATAAAGAGCGGCCGTATAGCAAGGTATGGGTGTATTTGTTTTCCAAATTATACTGTAATTTATAGAAAATTTATTGTTCCTGTTGTTATATTTCTACTAACAGTGAAACATTTCTGTTTATACAAGTCTAGGGAGGAAAGATATGTGAATATTGAAATCGCCTTAAAAGGGACATGACTAAAATGGTTAAAATGTTTCCACATACTTGCTCTAGGCTGTAATGGTACCATGTGAACATCATCTTAACCATTTACCTATAAGTCTGTTCATCTCATAATTTATATAAATTTAACCTGTTTCAGTAGTATAGACTTTGGCTTAATAAGACCTTGGGTATATTTTCTAACAAATAAAAATTTTTTGACCATATTTTTAAAATTTACATAATAATTTTAGATTAAATTCATAATGAATAATTTTTTATGGAGACAAAAAATCATTTTTATAAGGAAATTCTAATGTAAAAGAAATATTAATGGATTGTTTGTCATTACTTATGAAAAAATTTAATTTATCAATGAAACCTGAAATAATTCTAAAAGTTTCGTATTAAGGATTTTTTTATATGAACTTAATAAAGTTTTAATTGTTTAAAAAAATTAAGTAAAACTAATTACTTGATTATTTTATAATACAAAGGTTAAATAAAAATGTAATATGAATAATTTACTTTTAATCAATATTTAAATTTTAAACTAGATGTTATTTCTCTGAATTTTATATTGTTTAATTAATTAGCATTGGACGACCGAAACACATCAGAGTAATGGCAGGAGCATTAGAAGGAGATATTTTTGTTGGACCCAAAGCAGAGGTAATTATTTGTTGCAATCTTCTTTTATAAAATTTGTGAAAGTAATAATTTTGTACTTTAAACAAATTTTTTTTTTTTTTTTGAAAGTTTATTAGCTTTTTATTATTACAAAGTGATGTGTTGAATTGATTTTGAGAATAATAAGAGTTTTACGGTTATAAAATATAAACACAGTTCTTCCAAGAAACTTTACAAGAACTTTGTAAAATTTTTGAACATAAAATTTTGAAAAATATCAGTAATTTCTTAAAAATCTAATACTTGAAAGAAAACAAAAGATGGTAAGAAACTTCATTTGATCCGGAATAAGAATATAGTAAATTTGATACATTTCTCAAAATATTTATAAAAAGAATTCAAAATATATTAAGATTGCTACAGTTGATAATTTAATTTTTAAATTTATATTTGATAACAAATAGTTCTGAAAGTTCTATGAGCATACTTAGTATAGTCTTTTTACTTAGTATAATTTTTCATATACTTGATTGATAATATCCACAAAACAACAAATATTTTAGGCTCTGCATACAAATTCTTCATAATTTCCTTGGGTCTAATTTTCATAAATTTGAAATTAAAGCAAAATAATGAATATTTTTTTTAATCAGGCTGATGATAAAAGATTTTTCTGTTTTCACTTGAAATTAAAAATAACCTGGCAGTGATTAGTTTACTTTATATACATTATTTCAATACCATAATTGAACTTTTGACTACTTAGTTGATTTTCACTTTACAGACTCATGTTTGCAAAATTGGAAATAATGTGGATTGTATCTAACTAAATGGAATTTTCATCATATGTTTGACAGCGTGGTTGATTAATTATATGATTTATGTACAGGAACACAGAGGTTTATTAAGTATTCGTTACCCAATGGAACATGGTATTGTGACTGACTGGAATGATATGGAGAGAATCTGGCAGTACATTTATTCTAAAGAACAACTTCAAACTTACCCTGAGGAGGTATAAATGTATTTTTAATTATATAATTTATTTTTTTTACATTTTTTTTAATCTTTAAATTAAATGTTAACCAAAATGAATATTATAATTGAGTTGTTACATCTACAGAGATTTTTAATCTTTATATTCATTTTCTTTATGTTAAATTGTAAAGTCTATATCAAATCTTAAACATATTATTATAAATATCAAATTTATTTTTTTTTTAAACAGCATCCTGTTCTTTTAACTGAGGCGCCTTTGAATCCAAAAAGAAATCGAGAAAAGGCAGCTGAAATTTTTTTTGAAACTTTTAATGTTCCAGCTTTATTTATATCAATGCAAGCTGTACTTAGTTTGTAAGTGCATTTAAGTAAACTATATTTAAGTTTTGTCTTATAATGAATTTTTATTGGGTATAAACAATGTAATACAAATACATATTATTTATTATTTTTAGTTTACTATGACTAATCTATCAATAGGACTTACTACACTGAGATAACCTCTGGTTGCAAAAATGAGATATTTTATTAATCTGTAGGTTTAAAGAAAACTTATTTGCATCTGTGCAAATAAAATCTTATTTTTGCAACTAGAGGTTACATCAGTTTAATAAGTCTTATTAATAGATTATAGTCATAGTAAAATAATAATAATAAATAATAAAAAAAAGGACAAGAAGCTTTAATTCAACAAACAAATATATACTTATATAAATGCAGTAGATTCTGCTTAATTGGGCCACACAAAAATAATAAGAGATATTTACTAAAAAAAATTAATTAATTAAAGACAGAATTTTTATTTTTTATTACAATCTTTGAAAACACCAGAAGTAAAAGTGAGCAAGTTTTAAGAGAGAACGAACACTCTGTCACTTCCACACACAATGGCACAATGTGGTTATGTTCAAATTTTTAAACAAATGCACAAGTTTTATTAGTCCAATATACTGCTAAATATAAGTTTGTTTAGCCAAAAAATAGCATCTAGCTAAATCATAAAGGTACCTGTACATTGTTTTTAATTTTTCAATAGTTTAAACTACCTATAAGTAGCCCAACTTGACAATCTTGATTGTTTTTCACTACAAAGTCTAGATGGTAAGTAGCTAAGTAAACAAACCAATGGTATGATCTGTTACATATGAAATGGATTATGCCATTGGTTTTTTTTTGTTTTTACTTAGCTTCTTGCTACAGTTTTTTCCAGGAACCTCTTGTAGAGTTTAAACTACTTTTGCTTTAGGTAAATGAAACAGATCAAGCAGACACTTTGCCTAAAAGAAGTCAGGTTGGGATAGAAACAAAGTAAATTTGAGTATAATATCTGTATAATGTCATTTTCTACTTTAAACCAATTCTACAGCACAATTTGTGGTAACCAACATAGTGTGCCTCTAGTTGCATTGCATTTATCTCAAAGTGGCAACTAGGCTTAAATAAACAAAGGAAATTTACATTAATTGATTTATTTCTGTTCTTTGCATTTTGGCCAGAATAATCAGGTTGCCCCAATTACCAGTGGCCTAATTAAACAGAATGTATTGTATATAAAGAATAAATATACAAATACAACTTACAAAATTAATTCTATTTATTAATATTCATTAAATTGATATTTTTAATAGATATGCTACTGGACGTACAACGGGAGTTGTATTAGATTCTGGAGATGGAGTTACACATGCTGTTCCTATATATGAAGGTTTTGCAATGCCTCATAGTATAATGAGGGTTGATATTGCAGGTCGAGATGTTTCACGCTACTTGCGTTTGTTGCTGCGTAAAGAAGGATTTAATTTTCATACAACTGCTGAATTTGAGATTGTAAAAACAATAAAGGAGGTTAGATAAATTCATTGATTAAATGTTATGATTTTGCAGTTTTGCAATTTTTCTAATATATCTTTCTTTTAGAGAGCATGTTATTTGGCAAGTAATCCACAAAAAGAAGAGACACTTGAAACAGAAAAAGGCAAATATGTTCTTCCAGATGGAAGTGTTTTGGAGGTTAGCTTATTTTCTTGATACTTTTTAGAGGGGACTACTGGTTTTATTTATGTTGCTTTTCTTTTATCTTGAATTAATTAGTATTTTAATTTTATTATATTAGTTGATGCTAATTAACATTGATAGAAGTTTTCACACGAATGATAATAGCAATTAATTATATTTAAAATATATTTTTATAAAAAAATATAATTAAATGGAATAAAAATTAATTTTATGTAATTGATAATTTTGCATTTGATAACAATTAGTGCTACAAAATTTTAGTGATGATCAGAAATAATTTCAAATTCATTGTTTACTTAAATTTTACTTAACAGAATAATATGACTACATCCAGCATACGATGTTTGTCTAACATTAAACAAAACAAAGAAGCATATGTAATTCCTAATTAATATTTACTGACAATTTTAGAATGACAATACAGTTGATTACAGATTACTATTTTTAATAAATGAGATTTTACAGTCATCAAATGGTTTTCTTTTGGAAATACTGCCAATATTTTTGTAATTAAATTAATTAAAAACTTGTAAAAATCTATTTTAATTCTCTTTCTCTGTTGCTCTATTTCTTAGTATTTATCTGTAATGAAAATAGATTTTGTTTAATTTTATTATTACATTTCTTTAAGCTTTTACATAATACAAACTGATGTTATTAGAAAGTATAAAGAATATACATTGAAAAAATTATTTATTTATTTATTTATGATTTCTTTTTTACAAAATGTTTTAATGCAATACAAAACATGATAATTTTTCTTTTATAAATCTTTAGATTGGACCAGCAAGATTTAGAGCACCCGAAATTTTATTTAGACCAGATTTAATAGGAGAAGAATTTGAAGGACTTCATGAAGTATTAGTTTATTCTATTCATAAGTCTGATATGGATTTACGTAAAGTTTTGTATCAAAATATAGTCCTATCAGGAGGTTCTACTTTATTTAAAGGTAAGATATCATGTTTAATATTAAAATTAAAATTTTTAGTTAGAAAATTGTTTAAATAAAATTTATTTTTTTAGGATTTGGTGATAGGCTTTTAAGCGAAGTGAAGAAAATAGCCCCTAAAGATATCAAAATTAGAGTAAGTTCAATGTAAAAAAATAATTTGAAGATTTAATGACTTTCTTTAATTGAATTAAATACATGTTTTTTTTTTTCTTAAAGATATCAGCTCCACAAGAAAGGTTATATTCAACTTGGATAGGGTAAGTAGAAATTTTAAATAATTTGAAGGATTCTTCTTAAAAGTTTTCTCTAACCAGGTGGAATAAAGTAATAGTAGCCAGGTGGACAAAAAAAAAAAATATTACTCAACTTGTGTTTGCATTGAGTCCACTGAAGAGACTTCCTGGACAAAATGAGCCAACACTTCAGCACTATTTTCCTCATTTGTAACAGTTCTTGGCAATCTGCTGCAAAGCTGTCATGTTTCCTTAAATTTGGCAATAAACTTACCAATACATCTGTGCATGATTTGTCTACGGTCTGGATGAAGCTTATTGAATTCTCTGGTTACTTCTCAATGACTGCAGGTTCCCACCACCAAAATCACTTGAATTCATTCCTCCATAGTCAGTGACATGGTTTTCCTGAAATGAAGCAGTCATATGAGAAACTTCTACGGGTCCAGACTTACAGGACACCCTGTATAATAATAATATAAAAATTTATATGAAATCTGGTTTTAAAATCATGTTTTCTGATCTTCAGGCAGTTTTTCCAATCTTTTCTATTCACATGTGTTTCTTCTTTGATGTTTGTCTGTCTCCATCTTTCTTGATATGCCTTTTTCATAATGTATGAGTTTATATTGTATTAGCCCAAATATAAATCAACCCTCAATTTTTTCAAAAAGTAAGGATTTTGGAATCCTTAAGTTTTGAAAAAACAGGACCTGAATATAAGTTGACCTTTTATTATTAATTTTATCTGTACACAAAAAATTATCAGTTTACATTTAAAAAAATTGAAAAAAATGAAACAATACTTCATTGCTTTTGTTATCACCATTTCTATTTCCTATTTCATTGCCATAACACTCTTCAGCATCCTTGAACAGTACATCTTCATCTGTTTCATCCAAGTTGATTGTAACGTAATTATAAAGGGCTTTATGAAATGTTATCCTCGCCAACAATCTTGCAATTCCATTTTTTTTTTCTTTTCAAAATTACTTTAGTTAGAAATAAAATTTTTTGAATTTTTATGTACAGATATCTGTGAATCAATCAACATAAATGAATTTTTGATTGTAAAAATTTCTAAGAAAGCAAATCATATTTCTACATTGAAAATTGTATTTAAATGGTTTGTTTTATAGGAAGAAATACTTGAATTGGACACCTATATTATAAGTGGTGAATTGTAATTTATCGTTTCTTTTTCGTCTATATCAATAAAAATGAAATTAATAAAAGTTATAGAGCAAACTCAAGACAATGCTGTATGCACTGATGGTAGGCTGCCCAGTATTTAATTATGCCAAGGGAAATAGGCTTCTTTGCACTTTTCTTATGCATTCCATAAGTGTATTTTCAGTTTTATGACTATCAAAAGTGAAACCAAAAATTTGTTTCATTTTTGTCTGTCTTATTATTACTTTTCTGGTTGTTATATATAACAGAGGAAAATTATGGTAATCAGTCAAAAACTGACCTCCCTAAGATTTTTACATTTTTGGACTCTGGACCTTGAAACTTCAAAAAATGTAGAAAAATTTGAGGTGTTTTTTCTGTATGTGTGGGTGGGGTGCAATTTTGTTCACCTATTTTGAAGTTTAGTGCCTTTTGTCAAAAGTTTCTGAAATTTTGCAGGGAGGTTTGTGTATTAGGGGATTGATGCTATTAAATTTTGACTAAAGGTCGAGAGTGATGAGATAGATGGGTGTTGTGTGTCATATCTCAAGTAGAATTGGACTTAACAAAGATTTTACTCCTTATTAGCATTTACAATTTTTTTTATAAAATTCATCTCTACCCTGAAATTTAAACCTATTAAATTACTTTACCCGTTTTGCATTTTATAATTAACTAGCAGACCCCGCCACGCATTGTTGTGGCTCAAAATGTATCTATTATAAATGTATAACACTTCCCCCATGGGGGGAATTTTTCGAAAAATCCCTTCTTAGTGTACATTCTCTTGACGTACCCTATTAAAACGCAATCAAAAATGCAAAAAACCGCATCTAAAATAGTATAAATAGAAGCAGAGTTCTTTATGGTAAGCCTTAATCCTGTCCATTTCCCCCAGTGTGGGGGGAATTTTGACATGTATATTATATAAAAACACATGTGTATTCGAATGCAGCGTTGTGTCAAAATTTCAAAGGAATCAGTAGGAACAAACGAACATTACATTTTTATTTAGATAGATAGATAGATGATGATCTGCTTTAGTTCATTTTCACAGAAAAGCAAACTTAGGTCGTCATACTTGTAGTGCCATCTGTTGGACATAAAAGCCTTAACCCTAGATGATATCTTTTAATTTATATGAATGTTTAACAGAATAATATACAGCCTATGTTTTCCTTGAAGTTCCATTCTAAATATTGATGAAAGAATTTTTGAAATCCTGAGTAGTTTCAGAGATTACCCACTACATACAAACTTACAAACATTACCTCTTTATAATATTAGTATAGATAACATAAGTTTTCAATAAAGTATCATAACAGATTGGTGCCACATGCAATTTTAAGTTTTTTATCAGGAAATTTACATAACTCATTGCTGGTTTTTTTTTATAACTGTCTAAAAGATTTTTATAAAGTCCAAAACATATAATCATATTGAATATGTAAGTTTATAATTACAATAGAAGTTTACAACAATAAATTTTGTGTTATATTTAATCAGTAAATCAGCTAGGCGGTGCTCCCAGCCAAAAGGGCCTGGGAAGAACACTGATTTGAAATAAGAAGAAATATATTTCAGTGTTCAAAAGATTACAAATCAAATTAATAAATTAATTAGAATGAAAATTATGGGAAGAAGTTTAAATGTTTAAATCACTATATTGTTTACTCAATATTTTATTGCATATTCCTGCATATTAGATATATTTTAGAATAAATTTAAACTGCTGTAAAATCTGTTAATTGTTGTCACAAATCTTGTTATCATTTAATATTGAATCAGTAAGTCCCAAAAACATTTGTTAAAATAGTTATAAAATTTCAGTTCATTTTTAATCAGAAAATGATTTTAGTTATTAGATAAAAAGCTGTCTTTTCAGGCTGTAAGGATGAATCAATAAATAAACATCCAAAAGCAATGGCATGGCCGGTTATTTATTGATCCACCCTTATATTTGCCTCAACATTTAAATGGTAATGTGGAATTGTTATCAGTCTTAACTAGTATTTTGAATGTTAAGTGCTTAATAATAATAATAACAATCCTTGCTAGTCACCATTTTGTTGAGATGAGAGAAAGCTCAAGTAGTATCATAGAATGATGCTAGTGGAGCATCATTCTATGGTTCATTGACCACTTTTTCCCATAAGGTCTAGGGACGAAATGAAAGAGAATGAAAGAAACAATTTTTCTTGTCAGTTAAGATTTTGTTAATCCATGGCTTATTTTCATATAATAACCCATGCTCTTTTCAAAGCCCTAATATTCCTTTGCGCAGGGTTTGCCATTCACAACATAAAAAACAACCAAGTTTAATTTTCATATAGATTGCTTATTTTTGCACACATGGAGTGCATTTGACAGCTTTGCAAATTTAGAGTTTAAATTCTATGATTTCTTACACATTTTAATAAAGATTTAGCACAATAATAATTAATTTTGTTTATTTAAATTGATGATGATATTTTTAGTCATCAGCAATCTAGATTTTTTTGAAAATTTAAGTTGTCTAATATATGCTTTTTACTATTTCAGAGGATCTATTTTAGCATCTCTTGATACATTTAAGAAGATGTGGGTATCAAAACAAGAATACGACGAAGAAAATATTAGGGCCATACACCGCAAGACTTTCTGATGTGAAGGAATTTACAAATGCAGATCAGCAGCTTTTCTGATTATCCCTATTTGATTCTGAAAGGGATATCAAATCTATATAAATTAAGTCTATTTAAATTAATAATGGAGTAATTTAATTGTATAATTCTACTCTGTACACAGTTCATTCCCATTTCATTTACTTTATCATTCTTGTGATAAATTATAGTAATATAGGAAATCTGCTTTGAAAGTTTTACCAGTCATTTGTACTTTATAAGTATCCATAATTAATTTTGAGGAGTCATACCAAGATATATTTTTTAATAAGGGATCAAAGTCTAAACTAGAATTGTTTGTATGCCATATCTATCGGTGTACAAATTGTTATTTCGGCATTATGTCGAACTGCGTAATTTAATCTAAAATTTAGAACGTTCTGGTGTTATGTATTTAACCGAAAGATGGACAATATATTAAATATTGTAAATATATTTTTGAACAACCTATGTTTGTTTAGATTTGCACTTTTATATTTGACATATCTGTAAAAATAAATTGTTTGCTTAAATTATATAATTTACCTGTCCCCCATCCTATCTGTTTTGTAATGCATTACCAAGCGATATTAAATGCTATATTATTGTTTATAATCCTGTTTTGTTTACTTTTGTTAAATTATATTAAAAATTTTATTTATAATATAATTTAAAAGGCAAATATCAATAATTAAGTGCTTAGATTCCCAGCAACTAAAACCAGCGATTCATATTTAACGATTTTATTATTATTTAATTAAAGTTTGTTTATTTTTCTTTAAATCTTGACAATAATTTTGCAAATAGACTATACGAATTTATAAGCCATTAAATATTTCCAAAAATGGCCAAGTACAATACGTCCATTACAGGCAAGCGTGACTAACAATGAGATCGACCAGTAAGATTGAAAATGGAATCAATGCCTTGCTATCTACAACTTATGGCATATGAATCGGGTTTTCTTGTATGCCAGAGGCTGTACATGTTCTGATTATGCTACCCATGGTAAATCGGGTGAAATTGGGTTTTAGTCAAGATCTTTCATAGTAATAGGCTAACATCAATAATAATTGGTGAAAGAAGACACCAGACTTCCAATCTAGGGGAACCACTTCGAATTCAAGTCGATGTAGAAATTTTCATGGATACGTTGGGCCTCCTCACCACTCCATCTGTATCATGGGCTAGGCCATACTCATGATGAGCACGGAAAAGAGCCACTTAACAAAGCTTAGAAAATGCTCGTACTGTTTACAAAGAGGTGAGTGATTCTGTATATTTTTAAAAAGACGACACAAATTTTGGAAATATTTATTTTTAATATAACTCATTCAAAATAATAAATTAGTAATTAATAATCTATTTAAAAATTAACACAAAATTAATGTACTTAAAGATTAATTATTTAAAAGTCAATTTTGTTATCGGTTAGTCGCTTTCTGTCTGGATTTTCGTACAGGTCTAATTACGTAAATTTTTTTTGTTTCACGGAGAAAATCTCTCCCAGTCTTTAAATTCTCGATTGCATCTGGTGTATTTTCTAATATTAATTGAAGATTCGGTCGATTATCCTTCGACAGTGAATCCATTTGCTCCTTCACGAATTCGTCTTCTTCATCCATCCATTTTTCGCTGGCTTTTTCCAAAATTGTGCAGAGATCCACTCTATATTTTTCAAGTTCCTCGCGAGTCGATGCTCTTAAGACAATATGATTTCCTTTAAAATAATCGTCGGAATTTATACCACGTTCCATAAATGATCTCTCATATGCATCTCCAGAATGAGTAACTCGGTTCGAGTTCTTGAAGCTTCCTTTATTCATATGAAGAGTTGGTGATAAGTTATATTTGATGGTATGGACCGTGTACAGATCGTGGGCTTGATTGCTTAATGAAATGTTGTTAACTGAGCTCTTTTCTGATCCACATTCCTTACTGGAATCATCATTTTCCCGTGTTTTTATATCTTGCAATGTTCGAAAGTCGCAAGTATCCTCTTCGTATGAACTGTTTCTCTTTTGGTATTGGTAGAAGCTGGCTTCTTCCTCTTTCTTAGATGAGCCGCTGTCTTCAGGACTTTTAACTTTGGTCATCGTCTGTACAGTTTCGGTCCCATTCGACGAAGAAGAATGATACTTGTCCTTTTCGGTTTTCGGTGACGTTGATTTTGGAAATAATAACGGAGTTGTTTCTTCAATATCTTCGTCTTCCAATGTTTCTTCCATTAGCAAAACAGTTTCTTTGCATTCCTCTTCCGAACTGACGTGAAAAGACGATTCTGGTATCTGTTTTTCATGCTTATCATGCGGAAGCGAATCAATATCGACGTAAAAGATGGACTTTGGTTGGTGGAGTACTTCGCATTTCTCTGGTTTACATTGTTTCTCGTGAAATATCTTAAAGATGTACACGAGCGCAGTAATAAGTAAAAATATCAATGATATTATAAGGTAAGTCACCAATACGTTGGATATGGCACGGCCAAATTTTTTCATTATGATCTTCATTTCTTGTTCTGTGAGCTTTCTGTTCACTTTCAAAGTTTTGAGACTGTCAGAAATTTTATTTTCGCCACCTTCCTGCTTCGTTGGACCAATTAACATTGTATTAAGACGATTTTTATCGTCGTTCTTCTCCGAATATTCGATGTTGTTATCCAATTTTCTCGTTTGTTTCGTTCCTCTTTTTTTCTCGATCTCTTCATTTACATATTTCCGCATAAAATAAGAATTTTTGTATTTTTTGTAATTTTCTATAAAAGAAGAAAGCTTCGAAACTTCATTTCTTGAATTTTTAATTATTTTTGGTTTAGTTACACCACGCTTTTCTTCAAAGTCGTCATGATCTTGATCCTTGTCCATTGGCGATTCTTTATTTCTTTGAGTCGACGGTCCCACGAGCCAGTCCAATTTTCGAATTTTTGACTTGCTTCGTGGAACAAGGACACCATTTTTGTTTCTAAACTGTGTTGAAAACACATTCTTCAAGTCTTCGTTATAAGCAACGTCCTCCTCCGTTGGAGAACCGAGGAGCAACGAGCTTGGATCACTCACGAATTTCTTTTGTAGACGTATCCTATAGTTTTGCCCCACAGGAGCGTAAATTAAAATAAATAATGGTAAAATTACCATTAATATAACGCATATATTCATCTTTTATCTCGATTCGAAAACACTTTCAGAACTATTTACTTCTGTAAATATTGTTAGACAATACTAACATTGTTTGCATTATTGAAAACGCAATAATGAAATCATTTACGAAACTTGATGTATATTAATATTTTTTCAGGATTCATAGATACAATTTATTTTGTGTTATTTATTTCTGTGTTTGTTTCTGTGTTCTGCGGAGACTTGAGAGACTTTACTACGTCATCCAAACGAAGTAGAACTGATTCTTCTGCATCAAACAAGAAAAGAAAAACTTTATCTTTGGAATGTAAAGTTAACATTATTAAAGACTTCGATACAAAAATGAAAATTTGTGAATTGACAAAGGAGTTTGATCTACCGGAATCGACGGTCAGAACAATTGTAAAAGGTAAAGAAAAAATTTTCGAAGCTGTGAAAAATGCTCAATCTTTAAATTCAAGCATCATTCGTAAACGTCACGGTATTATCGCTGAGATGGAAACAATGTTAAAATTATGGTGCGATAATCAATTTAAATGTGAAAAATTGTCCTGTTGATCAGAACACTGTGCGCTTTCAAGCTAAGCTGATTTTTGAGAGATTGAAAGAGGATGCTGGAGAGATGGCTAAAGATGAAGAGTTTAAAACTAGTAACAGGTTAGTTCAGCCGATTCAAAAGTCTCTGTAATTTATAGCATTGCAGAAAGTGGAGAGGCGGCAAGTGCTGATAAAGAGGCTGCATCTTACTATCTAGAGAAATTCAAAGCTATGTTGCCTGTGATTTGGAAGTCGAATCGTAAAGCTTGGGTGACAGCTTCCCTTTTTTGAGACTGGTTTTTGAGACATACCTGAAGTCGAACGTTATTGCCAATCTAAACAAATTCCATTTAAAGTGATGCTAATAATCGACAACGTACCAGGTCATCCCCTGAAACTTTAATTTAATTGACTCTCATATCAACTTTACTCGTATATAATTACCTAGAAAATGATCACTTCTTCGTATATATTTACCAATAGTCATAGTAAGAAGAGATGATTTTATAGATAAGAATTACTGCATTTTTATTATACCGTATACTTTATTATAAAGAAGCAATAGTAGGTTCCCACCGATTGCCTCTGGATAGTGATTTAGAATGAAGTTTCCACTATTGTAGATGGAATACTTACATTGATGTGACTTTACTACATTCATATAAGAATAGAGGTTATCCTAAAAAGCAATGAGAAAGCTCGAGATGTTCTTGATCTTTTCGATTAAGAACATCTCGAGCTGCAGTAGTCCTAGAGTTGCCACCTTTTCAAAATCGCTGACCCGGAGGGCAGGTGAGGTTTGTTTGAACAGAAGTTCCTGACGCATGCGCAATGTCATTTTGAAATGCGAAGAATAATTTGCAGTGCATACCGGTTCTAAATCAGTTACAGTTAGCGACTAGGGAGACTTGGATAGGAGTAACGCAAGTGGCCTAGTTCTATTGGATATTGGAGGTGTATATGATTACGAATGAATCGTACAAGCGAAAAAAAGCAGCACTGCGCCTATGCCAACGACTACCACACTAGTAATTCCGGTACACGGGGGAAGAAATATATGCGACGGTTTGCATATAATTTTGTACATATTCATTTCAACTTGCACAACCCGGAGAAATATTAATTAACCCCGGAGCCCGGAGATAACTCACTCAATCCCGGAGTCTCCGGGTCAAACCCGGACAGGTGGCAACCCTAAATAGTCCTAAGACCTAAACTCTAAGTTGTTTATGATGGTAATACTTATGAATTATAAGTATTATTTGCTATGTTTACTTTTTCGGTTTATATTAATATACAGTATCATATTAACTGAAAGAATCGGTTGCATATTAAATATTAGCAAGTTTTACATGATACGAGCTAAGTGATATACATATGCGTTTATGATACTTTCAATCTCAAAAATGATCATCATTGAAATCATAATTATTGAAATATTTGAATTTAAATTTTATTTTATTAAGGTTCAAATGTTAATTCGAAAGGAAAAAATGTTTACTAAAATAATTTTATACAACGAGGGCTGTTCAAAAAGTATCGGACCTTTAGTCGGCAAAAATACATTTATTGATTTTGAGGTACAAAACCCTAATCCCCTTCAAAGTAGTCTCCTTGGTAGTGTATACACTTCTCCAGTGTTCCTGCCATTGCTGGAAACACTGCTGGAACGCATCTTTTGGAATGGCCATCAGCCGGCCCGTCGCATTCCGCACGATGTGTTCTCTCGACTAAAATCGGGTTCCTTTTAGCGGCATTTTCAACTTGAGAAATAGCCAAAAGTCACACGGAGCCATGTGGGGAGAGTACGGAGCGTGACGAACCACAGGAGTGTTGTGTTTGGCGACGAAAGCCCAAATCAGATGCGCAGAATGGGCGGATGCGTTATCATGATGGAGCTGCAAAGTTTTGATCGACCACAGATCCGGTGGTTTACGTCGCACAGCATCGGAAAGACGACGAAGGACTTCCTGGTAGTAGGGGAAATACATACAAAATGACATAGGTAGCATAATTCGAATTTGGTGATCTCAAGTGCGCAACTGACCATGACACCACGTTATCCGAGCAGCTTTTACTAACCTGTCAAAAAGTGAACGCACTCCTCTCATTCGCCCGGGTGTCATGGCAGACAACAAGAAATGACACGTTATGAGTTTTTTGTATAGATGGTAAGTTTTTCACTAGTTTATCTATTTGTGTAGCATTTATTTCAACAATCAAGAATTTGTTGTTGCACTTAAATAACTTTTTCCATTAAAAATAACATCTTTGTATTTATTTTATAATTTTGATTTTTTATAACGTTATATGGACAAAACGACATACATAGGCAACGGACATAATGACATACCTATCATTTAGTCCATAAGAGCTTAGTCAAGGAACTTACCTTAATCTCTTAACGTTTTCTTAATTATAAAAAATGGCTTCCAAAAAAGTCTTTCATTATTGTTTAAAAGAAATTTTAGTATAAAACTTTATTTCCTTTCTTACATATTATTTACAAACTTATTAT